ATATTTATGTTTTTGTTGCGTTTACAATTGTTCGGTATTCATTCTATCATTTCATACGTGACTATACAAACAGAGAGATACTGGAAATCCCAGTGGATGAGGGGTTGCTTTGGGATATGAGTGTGGCTAGAGAGGCGCGTGTGGGAAAAGCTAGCACAGCCACGACCGACATCAAACAGATTAAGGAACTGATTGCACAGATCAAGCCGATCACTGTGAAAGAACTGAAAAATCATTTTCCGCCTGGAAAGTGTATGTATTGTGCCTAAATTTAGGCTGCAATTTGCTACGTGTTAGCTTGTATCTATATATATATATATCTATATCTGTATCTATATCTATATCTATATCTATATTTAAAATTATTTATGTCTTTGCACATCAATCATGGGAAGCGTTTTGCCACAAATTAATTCTCAATTAGGCTTTACTGAGAAGTGCACATTGTGCACGAGTGTCGAAACAGCGTTTCCTATTTTTCTCCTTCTTCTTCTTCTTCCACTCATCATCCGATTTCTGTGGTCTATGACTGAACCTTTTTCTCATTTTCCGTATTTGTGCATGTGTATTCAACTTATATATCAAACACATAACGACACACTATCTCACTGTTTCAATTTTGCATCACACCAAGTACATCACACTTAGTTATCTGCAACGCACTTGTTATTTTTGCAACTACATATTATCGTTGCTTCACCTGCATTAACTTCTGTTATTGTCCTTTTATTTGTGTATATCTAGTTCGTTGCTTTATTTGCATTAACTTCTGTTATTGCCCTTTTATTTGTGTATTTCTAGTCCAAACTGCGCTCAACCGCCTGTACGAACTGTCTATCGGGGGCGGAGACAATCGACGCAACAACCACAGATGGGGAGCCCTGGCACTGCACCTTCTGCTCAGCATCGTCTCGAAAAGTACGCTAGGCAACATGATGTATTCTATATTCCATTATCTATACCACAATGTATGCTAAGACAAGTACTGCATATACTACAATGTATGCTAAGACAAGTGTATGTACCAATACATTCTATTATGGGGTATAATATAGTGTGTGGTAGCATATTGTATTCTATACTATACTGCATATACTACAATGTATGCTAAGACAAGTGTATGTACCAATTCATTCTATTATATGGTATATATCATAGTGTGTGGTAGCATATTGTATTCTATACTGTACTACATGTACTACAATGTATACTAAGGCAAGTATGTGTGCCAATACATTCTGTCATATGATACATATCATGCCTACCATAGTATGCGGGTAACTCACTATATTATATACTATACAATGCTCACTGACACACGTTTGTGATTCATTCCACTATCTGATAATATTTATTCGGCTATTGAGTACTGTATTTCTCCCCGTTTACACCTCTACTATGCATTGCGTGCAACGGGGGGGGGGCTATGTGTATGCATGTATGTGGGTATGTTT